AAAAAAAAAATAAAATTCTTGTCTCCCTGACTGGAAACCCAACTCTTGATTTTTTTCTCCTGCTGTTCCCCTGAATAACTATTCGACTTGAAAGAGGTTTGACTATACTATACACAGAACATATACACAAGCTTTCGTGCTGAAATCTCCTCGCATTTCCCAGCAATAAAGTAACCACAAAAAATAAAAAGAAAAAGAAAAGGAATGCTCGCCGATCAACGGGATTAACTCTGACCCCCGCCGTTCTCCCGTATCGAAAGCCCAGAGAGTCGCAGCAATTATCCCAGATTGCTCCCATCGCATCAAAAAAAGCGGCCGGAATTAATCCCCCGCGAGTCGCCAATCAGGACTCGATTCATGGCATCCGAAGGCCCAGAATGACAGGCAATCAACATGAATGCTGAGATACTACGTCGTTGCCTCTTCCCTGCAGCCAAAAACAAGGTCGTTCTTGGGGAAATTGGATTGCTCCCAGAATGGCGATAAAAGAACCTGGCTCGCTTTGATAACCAGCTAATCGGCCCAATTTCACGCCCCACAAAAACCAACCAGGGAGAAACAGCACGTCCAAAAGCTCACCTCTTTCAACGTTGAAGCCATACCAAAAAAATAATAAAATAAAATCCTGAAACACATTGAGAAGAAGAAAAAAAAAAGGGTGCATTCCTCATCGGATAAGTTTAGAGTCCGAAAGAATGCTAACAATTCAGTCTTTCTTATTTGAAGCAAACACAAAAAAGTAATCCGAAGTGAAATACTGTATTCAAAATTATCTAAAATAACATGGATTTTTTTCCATATTTAAACAGGGTGACTCACTGAAGTCGTAAATCTCAACTACGAAAAGACCCGAGTGTTACGTCTCGGTATCAGCAAACAAATGCGGCCTAAAAATGAGAAAAGCCCTGCGAAGACATCGTCTTTTTAACACTTGTCGACAGCACTTGGTACTTAAATTAGCTAAGTTTTACGTAAGATTTCCTTAGGAAGTTACTCTATGTCATGACATATAATTTCTCTTGAAAGAAAGATTTTGTATTTTCATTTTTACGACAATGCACCAATATTTAAAGATTGTCAATAGCATTAAAATAATCGGAAAAATCAATTTTACGCTTAGTTTTTGAATCAGTGTAATAAAGAATTGCACATGCCAAAGAATTAAGAAAAACCTGATAAATTTTTGCAAGTAGGTTGAAGTGCGGCATATTTCCAGTACTTTCATTTGAGTTTAGCCAAATCAGGTGTGTTTCTCGGAAAATAAAATTCAACAACTGAATGAACTCTACACGTATCTGCCGTAAATACGAATGTCCTTTCGAAAAGTAAGCCATAAATGACCCTGCACTAATTTCAAAATTGAATTTATCACAATCTTACCAATCTTGGTCCTACTGCATTTATTTTTTTTTTGCCACTGACCTACATTTGTCTCAGTTGAAAAAATTCAGGAATACAGTAAATCATTCCTAAAAGTTCAGGGCACATTCCAGTGATCATGCTCAAATATACTGTATAGAAAACCAATTCCATAGGAATCAGTGCTATTTTCAAGACAATTTAATGATATTCGGTTATAAACAAGGACGTGGAATGTATGAAGTTCACAATCACGCGAAAAATGACGGAATTTCTTTTAGAAAATAATTTAGATGCTTCGTGTCCCGTAAATAGCAAGCATATTGTTCGACACAGATTTCAGCTTTCCCCTTCTACGCTTTTCAAATGAAACCCCGGGATTATCCTCATAAATTCGATGAAGAATGTTTAATCCCGACGAAACCTCTCTCTGCTCATGATTCTGAATCACATTTGAGGCATCCATGAACGAAACCGAATTCCCTTGGGAACTCTTCAGTGAAACTATTTCGCCGAACAGACTCGCCTTTGCAATTTAAAAATTTTTAGCAAGAGGAATTCGCAAAGTTCAAATTTATGGAGAGCCGAAAAGCACATATTCAATATTTTCGATGGAGCTCGTGATGGAAATAATTCTGAGCATAAATGAGAACTTTAACTAGAATAAAAAGCGCTTTACTCAGAATTTTCTATATTCGCTCGCTATTCTTCGTATTCGCTCATTTGAGATGCATTCGCCCACAAATGGCCATTTTGATGTCTTGAAGCATCTCACCATAGTTCTATCGCCGATTTCAGCGCCACTGTATTTCTTGAGATTTGCGATTCCTTCGCAGAAGGCCTCGATCCACAAAGTCTGCAAATCTGCTTCAGAATTTGCGTGCAAAAAACAGCGACACGCCCCGGCAAGAAACAGACTGTAAAGTGCCCCAGAACTTCCTCCCATGTCGCTGGCACAAATCTCCGAAATCGTCTCCAGAGCTTTCCCCGGATTCTGAAGATTTATCACTTGTTTCTCTAAACCCACCATGATTCCTTTGAAAAAACAGAAGTGATTCAAACATTTTCTATTTTGAAAAGAAAATTCATGGCCGCACGAAAGAACGAACCGTTTGCCCCTCGGTTTATCGTTGATCCACAGTCTCCATCGCCGGCTCTGGAGTCCAAGTCATTCAGGACATGTTCCGATGCTCGCAAAGCAGCAATAATTGACAGCAAAGCATTATGAAACAAGATAACACCTGTTTTGTCAAGAAGAACAGGTGTGACAGTCGTGTCACCTTCTTCATCGACCTCAATTGACCCGATTTGCAACGCTATTCGACACGGCGTGAATCTGGAATTTTTCGGCATCGTTGATGAAGATCTTTTTACCGTTCTGCTCTAGGTTTAAAAAAGTCTCGAAAATAAATTTCAAAGTTTAAATTCCTGTCAGGATGATCATCACTTTACAGAAGTTTCAAGAATGTGGTTGAGACTACGTCAGAAAATATTTATTGCAATGTAATTCAGAATGTTTTCCGTGATGTTTTGGGGAATTCTGATAAAGTGGTGTGGGAATAAGTTAGGATTAGTTCTCTTGTAAAATTCCATACGAATTCCCAAAAAGCTATGGGTCGACAATTTTCGAAGTTCTGCATGCAATTTCCATTAAATAATAATTCTCGTCTTCATACATTTCTGAATTTATTTAATCTTTTTTAATCATTGGAAAATTTCTGAAAATCGACTTTTCAAAAGGATTCATGTTCTTGGTGTTACTCGCAAATTTCCCGGAAAAAAATATTCGCAAATAACCTGTTTGTTGAAATTTTCGAAAGTAAGGGTCTCGGCCAAGCTACTGCGTCAGTCGGAGAGTCCAACCATGGCAGCCATCTTTTCTTGCAAATTTCGTCACCCAGTTTAAAGATGGAAATTTGCACCCCAGCCATTTCCAGAGACGTCATGAAATGTCCGGTGTATGCTCTCAAAACAGCCAGGTTTCTGTGCTCTGTCGCGAATTTAAATTCAGTTTTTTTTTTTTTAAAGGTACTGTATCTCCAGAGAAAAAAAAAGTTGCCCTCACCGAGCAAAGCCACGACTTCTCGACACACGATCAACTCTTCTAATTGAGATGTTCCTCCTAAATTATTCACCAACAAGGCAATTTCTTCATCGTTTCCGAGTTCCAAACTGTTTTGATTTTGCGGATCAGTCATGTGGGTTATCATAGCTGTCACGACGTCGGTTATGGGTTTCAGCTGTATAAGAGCAAAGTTTGGAACAGATGAAATTCATGAACCTACCCGGGGTTCGTCTGCTTTCCAAGCCAAATGAAATCAGAATTTCGCCAGGAAATTTACCTTCATTCGAGCGACCCCAGCTTCTCCATGCACCCCAAGCCCCAACTCAATTTCATCAGGGCCCAGAGAAAACAACGGTGGTTGTCCGGGTAAACTGCACGGATTCAAACACACACCGATTGTGCCAATTCGTGTAGCGGCGAACCGCAACTCTGCGATTATTTCGCTCAACGAAGTCCCAGCTTCGGCCATCGCTCCAGCAATCTTGTCAATTCCAAAAATTCCTTTGTCTGATGCATATCATCAGCTTACTTGAATAAAAAATACCTTTAGCAAAAACATATTCCCAGCCATGCCACGTCTCCCGACTGCTTGTGCACCAGTATTTGCAGTGTCGTCACCGTTGACAAACATTTCCACATTGATCTTGTCCAATTTGGCCTTTTCCACAGCCAATCCAAAATTCAATCGGTCTCCGGTGTAGTTGAAAACGAACACCAGGATCCCAGCTATATTGTATCAACTTTTAAAAAACTTATGAATAGGTGAAATATAATATTTTTTTATCTCACATGGTTCATACTGGGCAAGATGTCTGATGAGAGGATACGTTTGTTGCATCGGAGGAGAGGCAAAAATTGGCCCTGGAACCGCAGCTGTCAACATTCCTTTCCCCACGTAACCTTTTTAAAAAGTTTTAGATGAATTAATCTGCTGTGCGCGTTTAATTATAGAATTAAATTCGCTGAGAACCCATTTTGAACGAATTTGTGATCCAAACAACTGATCACTGGGTACAGTAATAGAATCACTCACGAATTTCAGAAACTCGTTTAAATACTGGCCAAAAATCAGCAGAAATTTGAAGATCGAACTCAGCCAACTCATTGCGAGAAGATCTTGAAAATAAAATTAAACGGAAAGAGGAGGAAATAATTCAAAAATAATATCAAATTCAGTTGAAGATAGAACACATGGATGATGGACGCCTAAAAGTTCCGTATGCATCTTGAAAGAAAACTTCCCGAGTAGTACCCAGTTTTGAGGGTATAATCTGTCACATTATTATTAAAAATAATAACAAAATCGTCATATTGTAAAAAATATTTCCTAAATAGCTTCCCTCATCCATGAACCGTCTCTCGATATAATCAAATATATCAAAAGGGTTATTATTGTACTCCTACTACTCCAGCATATTTTCCTACTCAAAATGTTTCTGCCAAGAAAAGTGCAGATCAAAGCAAAAAAGCTGGGGGTAAACACAGTGGTCTGTTCCTTGTTCAAAATGTATCAAACCAGCAGAAAAGGGCTCGTGTCCAGATCCTCCACCGCTGATGACAGCAACTTTTCCTCGAATAACTTCCAAGTCTTCCAAAACAACGTTCCTGGATTTGCCAAGCAAACGTAAACCCGGGTTCATTGCCACAAGCCCTTCTAGGGCCTCGTCAGCACATTTATCCAAATTCTCACCCACCAACTTTTTCGTCACTTCAACAGACATTCTTCTCGCACAAGTCGGAATAAAACCTGGGTGGAGAAAAAATGTGATGGCCCTCAGGGCATTCAACCCCATCAACCAGATTCAGTAAAAAAAAATCAAGTTGGACTCAAAATATATTTTTTTTAATTGCTTCGACCCAATCACCATGAAAGCTTTGACTTTCATCAGATAAACTTCTTCAAAATCGATATTTCTCTAGCCATTTCGGGAAATTTCTAAGCAAAACATCAATTTTTCCCAACGGAAGACATGAAAAAGGTTCCACGCCTCAAGCAAAAAGTGTCTTCCCTGAAAAAATGTGTGTAATTAGAAAAAATACTTTTATTGGATTCAATTTTTCGAGAACAATTTCAGTGCAGACGGATTCAGAGTTTTTATCTATAAAAAAAACGAAAAAAATTGGAAGTTACTCTCATAAATCCTCACAATTTAACGGGAAACTGGAAAAACCACGAAAATAAATTTTCGAAAGCCTCTTCAGAATTTTTGGTAGAGTAAAAATAATACAGGTTGACTCTCTCTATATACAACGATCTTGTCTACAATGATTTTCTCTGCATAACGATTTATTTATATATTGTTGGGTCCCATGGGGTTCTCTTCCCATATAAAGGGGGTTCTCTACACCGAAATTCTCTCTACAACGATTTTTTCTGTTCTCTCGAATTTCTTCCTAGAGAAAATCTACCTCCAATTACTGTATTGTATCACATCGTGTCTACGGTGCTCCTTTTCGGATCTGCTTCCAACTTTGTTAGAACATAATTTTACCTTCAAAAATATTCCGCGCGACGAACTTTTTTGTAGGTGCTAAAAGAAATGAGATATACAGACTGCCATAAAGCACACAAACGACTGCGTATAACCAAATGGACTCTTCTGCTAGTGCTGAAAGAAACCAGACGCATTTTCCTCCCCAGGAGTCATAACCCAGAGGGGGAAAAAGCTCCAGACGCCGTAAAACGCATGCATCGTTGCACTTGGGTTCAAATGGCTCGGCAATGCGCCATCTGACTTATATGATGGACGAGTCCATGTAGCTTTAATACACTTACTACGCAAGGTACTCAGAAATACCCTCACATTCCGCGACAGCACTGGAAATAATTTATCGAGTCGTCTCGCGATTCGGTCAAAGCGGAAACCAACTTTCCAGTACAGTATTGGAAGCGATTTTAAAGCTGTCAAAAAATAAATAAAATGCTGCAGCAATGAAAAAGCCATAAAATGGCAGGCATTCCGCAGAAAAAAAGTTGCAATATACATTTTAACCTACAATTTCAAAATAAAGAGGAACGGCGAGAGGGAGTTACTCAAGAATTAATGACACAAAACTACAGACGCCGCATTTGTATTCGCATGAAAAATTCTCTAAAATCCATCCTCAGAGTTAAATTGTGTTTAAAGTTGGCAAAGAAATTAAAATGATCCTGATTTCTACGGGGAACATGTTCTGAAGAAAACCCCGCGTACATTTTACACGACAGCAATAAAAAACCCCCACAGCGCCACGGCAATGCTGCAGATATTCTGAAATAAAGGTTTACATGGCATTTATATTCAAATTTATCAATCTAAATAACTGCATGAGTTATTTATGCAGTAAAAGTGACAACTTCCCAAGTATTATTGACTCAAGTTACAACCTGAGGAAGATAATAACTGATGAAAAAAGTTACTTGATTAAAGATTCAAAACCTGTAGAAAGGGACCCTCAAAATTTAAAATATGAGCTCCTCGTATGCTTAGTGGAAAGTAAGAAAATATTAAATCACCGCATACAACCTTTTCAAAAATTATCAATTTAAAAATTGCTATCCATCCTCAAATAAATAACCTACCTTTCAGTATCATGTGCGATCATTTGCACGATTAACGTCATTATTGAACGTGATACATTCTTTTTTATCCAAATAATAGGGTGTAACATGCGTCATACTCAGGAAAATATACAACATAACACAAAAAATATTTTGGAAATGCCCATTTAAAACCTTAACCAGTTTTCGTAATCTTCTCATTCCAAGGAATCGTCGTACCAGTATTAAAAGAAAATAAAGCGAGCTAGAATAAAAGAATTAACTTTCGTCTCCGGGATGATATACAGTATAAAAAATTGCACTTCAAAATTTTTTGCCATCGTTATCCATAATTCTGAAGCTTTTATTGTCAATTATCGATCCTCCGTGGAAATTCGCGAGAACGCAGCAAGGGATTAAGTTTCAGTTTCTTCGCTACCTGACATTCTCATCTCAATACCCGTTTATTGAGTTCACTTCAAAATTAAACCTGATTGACGGCATGGTGATTCAATCAGCCAGTCATGATCTCAACGTTTTGCCTCCCCCACAGACCTGAAATGCGCAGTTAATATTCNGTTCTCTTCCCATATAAAGGGGGTTCTCTACACCGAAATTCTCTCTACAGCGATTTTTTCTGTTCTCTCGAATTTCTTCCTAGAGAAAATCTACCTCCAATTACTGTATTGTATCGCATCGCGTCCACGGTGCTCCTTTTCGGATCTGCTTCCAACTTTGTTAGAACATAATTTTACCTTCAAAAATATTCCGCGCGACGAACTTTTTTGTAGGTGCTAAAAGAAATGAGATATACAGACTGCCATAAAGCACACAAACGACTGCGTATAACCAAATGGACTCTTCTGCTAGTGCTGAAAGAAACCAGACGCATTTTCCTCCCCAGGAGTCATAACCCAGAGGGGGAAAAAGCTCCAGACGCCGTAAAACGCATGCATCGTTGCACTTGGGTTCAAATGGCTCGGCAATGCGCCATCTGACTTATATGATGGACGAGTCCATGTAGCTTTAATACACTTACTACGCAAGGTACTCAGAAATACCCTCACATTCCGCGACAGCACTGGAAATAATTTATCGAGTCGTCTCGCGATTCGGTCAAAGCGGAAACCAACTTTCCAGTACAGTATTGGAAGCGAGTTTAAAGCTGTCAAAAAATAAATAAAATACCGCAGCAATGAAAAAGCCATAAAATGGCAGGCATTCCGAAGAAAAAAGTTGCAATGTACATTTTAACCTATAATTTCAAAATAAAGAGGAACGGCGAGAGGGAGTTACTCAAGAATTAATGACACAAAACTACAGACGGCGCATTTGTATTCGCAAGAAAAATTCTCTAAAATCCATCTTCAGAGTTAAATTGTGTTTAAAGTTGGCAAAGAAATTAAAATAAACCTGATTTCTATGGGGAACATGTTCTGAAGAAAACCCCGCGTAAATTTTATACGGCAGCAATAAAAAATCCCCACAGCAGCGCCACAGGAATGCTGCAGATATTCTGAAATAAAGCTTTACATGGCATTTATATTTAAATTTATTAATCTAAATTACTGCATGAGTTATTTATGCAGTAAAAGTGACAACTTCCCACGTATTATTGACTCAAGTTACAACCTGAGGAAGATAACTGATGAAAAAATTTACTTATAATTTGAATTATAGATTCAAAATCTGCAGAAAGGGACCCTCAGAATTTAAAATATGAGCTCCTCGTATGCTTAGTGGAAAGTAAGAAAAAATTAAATCACCGCATACAACCTTTTCAAAAATTCTCTATTTCAAAATTGCTATCCATCCTCAAATACAGTATATAACCTACCTTTCAGTATCATGTGCAATCAATTGCACGATTAATGCCATGATAAAACGTGATACATTCTTTTTTATCCAAATAATAGGGTGTAATATGCGTCATACTCAGGAAAATATACATCATAACACAAAAAATATTCTGGAAAAGCCCATTTAAAACCTCTTCCAGTATTCGTAATCTACGTAATATATGTATCTCATTCCAAGGAATCGTCGTACCAGTATTAAAAGAAAATAAAGCGAGCTAGAATAAAATAATTAACTTTCGTCTCCGGGATGATATACGGTATAAAAAATTGCACTTTAAAAATGTTTGCCATCGTTATCCATAATTCTGAAGCTTTTATTGTCAATTATCGATCCTCCGTGGAAATTCGCGAGAACGCAGCAAGTGATTAAGTTTCAGTTTCTTCGCTACCTGACATTCTAATCTCAATACCCGTTTATTGAGTTCACTTCAAAATTAAACCTGATTGACGGCATGGTGATTCAATCAGCCAGTCATGATCTCAACGTTTTGCCTCCCCCACAGACCTGAAATGCGCAGTTAATATTCCATCCAGAGAAGCTACATCGCGTAAGTTTCGCGTTATAAAGTGCATATGAAGCTTAGGGCGCAAAATTTCTTGACGTTTATATGTTGTATATAGAGAAGGCATCAATTCAGCGTCTCTAAATCCCTCGGGGGCATAAATCGCCATCCGTCACACAATCCACCCGAGTTCATCGCACCTTTATGTGCAACAAGGCACAGACGCAATTTGTCTGAAATCCACGAGAGGTCGATTCCAGACATGTCCTAAAGTGCTTATCCGTCATGCGACTAGCCTGAATTATGTCTCATTTCCACGAGTGAAGTAAAAAAAAAAAAAAAAAAAAAAAAAAAAAAAAAAAGGTGCTTTGCGGTAGTCGTAAAAGGAAACAAAATAGTTAAAATTTTTTTGCGAGAAACAAATGATTATTCCTTCTTCACGATTAGCGTCGGTTTCTTTGATCAAATGAAATTTCATGTAGACATGATGCGCTGTCATCGATCAAACGAATTCAGAAGCATTGAAAAAAGCAAGGGTTTAAGGAAATTTAAGGAATCCGGTTTATTTTATGAGTTTTGTGAGGCTTGTATTTCCCCTGAACTATTAGACGCAGAAGTAAATATTCTCTTTTTTGGCCATTTCGTCCAGGTCATTGATTTAAATTTTCAATGCTAGAAAATAGGGTTTTCTACAGGCACACGATTCATTTATAAATTTCCAGTCGGCCTAGGTTTTACCAAATATTTTTAATATTCTTAAATGAAAGTTCACAGATTTAGCAAACATATGTTGTGACGAAAACAGTTTTTTCAACACGTAATGGCGCTTGGGATAGTGACGTCGAATGTTGATTAATTGACACAACATGGTGAATATTGAAAAATAATTTGCAGAAATCAGACTGCAAGTGACGAAAAAACCTTCAGAAAATAAAAAAGAATCCCGAATAAGTTTGAGGATTCTGGTATAAAATTGTGGGAACCGAAAGATCTTCATTTTAAGTCGCTGACAAAAATTTCGAACCGTCTATTGTTTCAAGTCATTTCCATGACTTCAATTTCCTTATAAACTCAAACTCGCAGTTGGAATTTTCAAAGACATCATTTACGAGTTTTGAAACTAATTCAATTACTGTACTTACAATTACATCTTCCTGAAAATTGCCAAGTTCGTCCGTCATCCAGGGAAATATTATCCGCCGCCTTCCTTCCCTTATTAGTGCACGGAATTCTATTCCCTCTTTTTGGTTGGGGGGGGGGGGGGGGGGGGGGGGTTTTTTTTTTTTTTTTTAATTTTGGGATGGGGTAAAAATAGTAAACTGCTGATTTAATAGTTGAAAAATTGATACTATGCTGTGAAAAATTTTCGTAAAATTCTTCCGGAAATTGAATTATTTTCTGAATCAGCTCAGACAAAAAGCTAACGCAAAAAACCAGTGCCATTCCTACTATCGGCTTTTCCTTCCGAATGTTGGTTTAATTCCGCCCCGTTATGCAAAACACAAGCGAATAATTTTGAGACTCTTTCGTGGGAAAGGGATGAATCAGAAAACGAGCGCATGTGACTTCATCATGCAAATGTGCTCTTCCAGGTTATTGAATCGCCCAGACACTGAAGCAATATTTCACTACGGAACAAAAACAAGCGCAATTCTAAAATGTATCGAGGCAACGAAAATACAGGGTTATTCACGCTCGGCAAAACCGAAAAAAACATGAATATTTATTCTGGTAAATTACTCATGAACATGTCATTACTGAGGCCCAATGAAAGCAAGAGAGAAAATATGAAAAAATATGTTTAAATTCTGTCATAAATATATTAACATGAAGTGCTTGCTCCTTATTGAGGGATGAACAAATATATTTTCCTCGTCATACTGCGAAACTTTGCTTGATGCAATGACTAATAATTCAAAAAACCATACGGAAGCAAGAATATTTTCATGGAATATTTATAAATTGTTCCAAGATATTTTTAAACATTTTTTTGTGCGACAAGAGTGGTTGAAGGACGAGATCGCGATAATCTCGTAACATTTCCCAGACACCAACCATAAGACTTCTTCCCAAAAAATACAAAGCATTTTATCTTCCTTTCTTTAAAAAGTTGAAAACACAGGACGACTGCATTTTAAATTTATGAAGGCATTCTGTCACTGCCCTGCATTCCTCAGACACACATTTCCTAGAAAGGTCTAGAATTCGCACAGGAAATAAATACTGTATTCACGTTTGGCGATGACAATAACAAAGGTGTGGCATGTCACTGCACTTAGTGAGATTAGTTAGTTTTACGTTGTGAAGCCGAATACGTTGCGAAGCTTTAAGCATTAACTGAGTAGGGCGGAGCTTGCTTTTGCTTTCCTGACTTTGTTTACATGTTGACTCCTGCTGTTACTTCCCAACTGCGCAGTTTCCAGTCCCGAGATCCAAATCCATATAAAGACGAAGGCAAAGAGACAGGTTTCTCTTACACCACGTCCTCTCTTTGGCCTCATAAACATCACAAAAACGTGACCCCATTGTTACCACTAAAATTTAAACAAGCCTCTTGATTATCCTACAAACGGTTGAGAGCGAGCGAGCAACATTCGGAGACACGTAGGTTAAACATGCCGCAGATTTTGAAGAGCGACACCTACTGGAGAGCTTATCAAAAACCATATAAAGAGTGCGCAATTCAGCTTCTAGTCGTAGACACTGTCGAAGAACCGCGAGCTGTGCTGATGGATCCTAGAAGGTCTCGCAATCGGTTTCAAGAAAATTAACTCTTTATTTACACCAAACTTTACTACTAAGACAGCAAATTTTATAGTTCAGGAAAACTTTTAGAAAATGGATCCTACGGCACTCGCGGAGTTTTCCCAATCATCATCACCTTCAGATGATGAAGTGGGAACGGATGAAGAATCCTTTCGTGAAACAGTGGATTCGATCAGAGAACCCGCGGGGTTTTCGCAAGGGGATACAACTAAAATTGACAATGACTTCGAAGATGAAGAGGACTTCCGACAACTTCGACTCCTTCTCCCTCTGCTTAAAAAGCTGCCCCTTCTGCTCAAGAACCTACTGATACTGGTGCAATATTTCCTTCTAATACTGCCGCTACTGCTAATATCCAGACTACTTTCACTTCGCAGTCTTGAAATTGAGAAAACTGGGGGACCTGAGAGCAATTCAAGATTTCCTGTCGATCGTGGTCGAGCTGGTGATGCAAATGCCGAACACTCATCCAGCAGAATTCCAATAAATTTTCGAATTCCTGCGGGGTAAGTGTTGAAAGATCTTCCTTTGATTTCAAAATTTTCATGTTTTCCGAGACACAATTTCACTGATCTCTTATATGACGAACTTCATTCCTAAAAAAACCATTAAGAAACGAATTTTGCGTGAAGCATCTCTTAGTAGCGACATCTATAATAACAAAAATCAAGTTACTCTTAAATGTCTCACAGATGTTTCTAGAGGCTACGCTACTCTAGTTAAGTCAATTTGAAACTCGGGGATTGAGGCGACCGATGCTAACCTAGATGTCGTTTGCTAACAACCGTATGGTTCACGTTTAAGTTGTTGCAATTTTTTGGGAGATACACTTGGTAATTAAACAACCGTGATTGAATTTGTTTATGATGGACAAATGTCAAGTCTGCATGAATCAAATTATAGACGCCATCAAGAAAATAATTAGAACTCAATACTTTTCACTACTGTACAAGGTTGATGGTCAGATTACGTAGGTCACGTACTTAAAAAAAAAAATTTACTGTATTTACATAGGTACCTTAAGTTAGCCTTACTTTCATGTCATTAGTAAAGACCACAACAATTTATGCAGAATTAGCTCATTTTTCCAGTCATAGATTCAGCACGGTTAGTGATCAAAAACGGAAATGAATGAAACTTACACATCCAGTAATTTTGCGGTTTGGACCACGACCCGCGGTGGTCAAAAAAGTTGTGATTTATTCGACATAATAAGTAAAGCTTTATGACATCGGGACCTTCACTTCTTATTTTTAACGTTTTTTTTGGATAACTTAGATTTCACACTCTCAAGCAACAGAGGCGAGAAGCGACAAGTGAACCTGATCCCGATACAGTTGACGAATCAACTTACCGCCGGAATGACCGGAACTTTGCAACTTCATAAATACATAATCACTACGATCGTTCATGAGATCTTGAATTCAAAACGTTTCCTCGAAGGCGAAGCGACAGAAAAGGATGAAGACACCAAGGAAATGGAGCTCATCGAATCTTACAGTCCAGATTTGATCCACAAACTTGTGGTCGAATCGAGGAACAAACAAATTGATCTCTTGTTCAATCAGGTAAAACGAAGGAACTCTTTGGAAAAAAATTGCAAAATGATTAATTTTTAAAATAGAATAAACCAGATACTTCAATGAAGGACTTCGATGATAGAAGCACGGGCTGGATTACGTTTTATGGCATCTTCTGATACAACATTCTATTATGGCCAATTTTTTTTGAAACGATGGAAAAATAAATAAATTCCTGATTCAAATCTAAGCCGCTTCGAATATATAGTTTTTGAACTTCAACAGAGAAATTTTGCACAAATTATCACGATTTTCTTGGCAAGTCGGCATCAGTAAATGTTTGCGGCTTCATTGTTTCTCTGGCGATGTTTTTTTGTTTTTTTTTTGCTACCGAAATTATAAATCAGTCCAAGGATAAGTATGAATCGTGTTCAAATTGCACAGGCGAAGAATTACATTGCTCGGCTTCTCAAAACTTTGGATGAGCTGAAGAAAATTGACTCGGAGGAGTACGAAAAGTCTCGACGAGTTCCGAAACACGAAAGCACAGTCGCCAAAACTGATTATTTCAAAAAGCGCATTGAAGAAAATGTCGATTCGCTTCGGAGGCAATTGGAAAAAAGTCACATCAAAGGAATTACTGACGCCAAGTTGAATAGCGAATTTCTGCATGAACTCAGCGAATACGAGAACCTCATGCGGGAAAACTTGTCCCAGGATGCGGCTTTTCAGCAGAACTTGATCAGCAGGTAAAACACTCAACATTTTTCTTACCGGACTCATTTTGAGGAACTAAGGCATGTTTGTCTATAAAATTTTCAGAATCATGATTCATATTCGTCAGAGTCAGAGTGCAGAACTTCTGCCGCTGAAGAAATTATGCAAGATGCCAAAAAATCTGATGGAAAGCACGGATCACGCGGCTACTTTACAACATGTTCTCTCACAACGGATTCTCAAAGAAATGGAAAACGTAAGCGTGAAAATTCAATTCTTTTCATTTGAAACTGTCATCGTATCAAAATAAAATGAGGTAATGTATTGCTGAAACGCAGTTAAAGATCATTGTTGCTAGGCAGAATTTTTTTTTTTTAACTTGCTGTTGTACTAAAAAATTCGAATTTCGACCCCACACTCGTAAAAACAACAAAAATATCTAACAAAAACATTAAAAACTTGCATGTTTCTGGAATTAAAAAATGAAAATTTGCAGAAATTCGTGGATCGGGAATTCTTTTCGTTCAACGATCAGGCTGAAGTAGATTTGGTTCGATTAATAATAACGCCAGTGAAATTTTTTTCATGAAAATTAGACTGAATCATCGACAGGATCTGAAGAAAGCATAATTTTTTTTGGATGCACAATAATTCAGAAGGATTTTATATATCATTAATACTAATAAGCTAAAAAATAAAAAAAGATCAACTGTGTCACTTTACAAGTGAAAATGATCCAACAGTTTTTTGAATAACCCGGATTTATTTTTCAGTCAGTGAAGGAGAATAGACCAGTCAACTTCCGGGAAATCGATTTGACAAATTTGTCAGAGGACGAGGATGCCAACATGACTGTCGAAGATTTGAGTGACAGGGATTCTTTTGTGATGCCTGACAGGGTCAGAAAGATCGTCGACGACACTGAAACGCAATTCATCCGACTTTTAGTTTTCCAACTCATTCTTTCATCCCGTTTGGAAGAAGTTGTGAGTCTCAAAAAGTCCGATTTTCCTCGAATTTGTAAACGGAAATTTCATAAAGCTAAAGTATTCTAAAGACGCAGAGATTAACACCCGAATTTTAAGCGTTTTTGGTAACTCTACTAATACTAACGACTTCTTTTAATGTTATTCTTTCGATTACGTTGCTTGGAAACATTTGTTTTATGGGAAGAAGTTTTGAAACATTTTCGAAGCATCCATAGTATTGCTGTTTCAACTTTTAATCTTATTAAAGCAGACCAGCATCGAATTCGATTTGCCTTCTTCAGGCTTTATTATCCATAGAAAAAAAATTTATCATCACTTTCTTGAGCTTTTATTATACTACTAATCTTCTTTGAATATTAATTTGCAGCCTTCTGCCATTTTTTATGTTTGTGCGGAATTCTAAGATTTTCTGCTTATTTTTTGAATGACGAAGCTATAAGGTCAATCGAATGTTTCAAACGTCACGGCGGAATTTTTCGAAAGCATTCAAAAACAGTGACATTTAGAAATCAATACACGTTTTGGCTCTTCGTCAACTTCGATTCTTGCATTCATCTCATCTTTTTTTTTGCGACTGTTGTTGATGGCATACAGAGAAAATTCAAAAACTTTGTCTTTTATAAAACCTGCCTTCAAAAGCTTACTGGTTTGAGACGGTATATGCAATTTCTTAATACCTTAAAGAAAACTCTTTATAGTTCATTTATTCGAAAGAATTTTAATCAAAAACTCGACGACCCCTCCATTAGATGAATTTTTGAAACCTTTCCGTCAAATCGCACAAATCGAGTCCACGTTTGAATAAAAATAATTCCCGGTGAAATATTCTTAAAATAATTCATATGCTTTAAATAGTTGATAGAAATGATGCTGGAACACGCAGCCAAGAAGGACAAGAAAATCGTCGAAATCCTGACCGAAGCTCAGAACGACAAGAAGGAAAATGCGAAGAAAACTGTTCGAGATTCGAAAAATCTCAGAGTCTCTTCTACAACAGATTTGTCTCGTCGCAAAAACCGAAGCTCCACCAGTGTTCCACCATCTCCGAAGAATTCAAATTCCTTGAAAGCCAGAAGTTATCGAATGAAAATGAGAAAAATTTCAATACATTCCGTCAATGCCAACAACATTGCCATGGACACAGGTGATAACATTCTGGTGGCTGAAGATGTCGACTTGGCATTCCGCAGAACCATTGCCAATCACGTCACGACAGTCAAGCATTTCATTGAAATCGTCGTTGCCAAAAAGGCTGATCGGGAGCTTCTCACCACATCCGCAAAAGTAAATATATTCTCATTCAGTAAAAAAGGTCGTAATTTATATCAAACTTTTCAGCCCTGAAATGAGCTACGCTACACGCAGCAGTATAAAAAGTTTCAATGCGTCTTGAAACTCGTTGCTGTGATGAAATTTCAAATAACAAAAAATTTTAAAGATGTGATGCCTCCTTAATGGTTCATATGCCCTGAAATGAGCTACGCTACACGCAGCAGTATAAAAAGTTTCAATGCGTCTTGAAACTCGTTGCTGTGATGAAATTTCAAATAACAAAAAATTTTAAAGATGTGATGCCTCCTTAATGGTTCATAATTAGAGCAGGAAATAATCGTGATTCAAGATCAGCTTAGTATTCATGCCTTTCAGCGAAAGTTTCCATCGTTCCACAGCAGATGATGCGTTCTTGATGTTCATTACTTTTGAACTTCAAGAAAAATGATGCGACGTGTTCTTTAAGAGGGAATGGATTAATTACCACATTTTCCACCATCGAGATTCTTTCATGAGCAGAAAGCATCTTTCTTTCTGTTCATGAACGTATTTAATTTTTTTTTTAGAATGATAACGTTAAATATTACCACCGATATGGCAATTCATTATCATTCAGTAATTGACATCCAGTAATTATGTCCTTCAGTGTAAATTTTCGGGGCTAGAATTACCAAATTACTGCAATCAAAGTTGAAATAATAAAGGTAGTCTTCTTTGTCAAACGCATTTTAGAAGGCGACTTCTGAGAAT